ATTCAGCATGTGGCTGTCCTGGTGCCTTTCCTCTGTCCTCTCCTCGGTCCTCGGGTTGGTCTTCCATTCCTCAAGTCGGTCTCTCCATCTTCCTGCCTCGCGCTCCCTGAGCACCCAGGAGGACACCCTGGTCTCCCTGTTCCACCTCCCCTTGGTCAGGCCCACCCCTCTTTCCTGTCCCACGAGCGCAGCAGGTGGCCACATCTGTTAGTAATCCCAGGCCTGGCCTAAATGCTGCCGAGGGCCTTCACCCTGCCTCTCTTGGGCCACGCTTCCTCAGGGGGATCGGGTTAAGCAGTGAGGACGCTGGTCAAGAGGCTCCTCCTGGGAGGAAGTGGAGGCGGGGGCCTTGCCCGGGGCGCGGGGAGCTTTCCTCGGGTTCGACCATTAACGCGGGAGGAGGGCCCCTGAACCGGCAGTGGGGGCGGCCACGCCTCTCGGGCAGGCTCCGCCCACCTGGCCCGCGCAGCTGCATCCTTGCTTCACCTCTCAGAAGCTCTGCAGCCTGCTGGCGGCACACCGGCATTTGCACGTAGGTGACCAACCCGGGCACAGGTTCCAGCAGCCTCGGATTTCTGTTTTTGCCGCCCCAGTGTGCGTGCGGGGCCGTGACTGCTGATGAGCAAATGTCTCCTGCATGGTGGCAGTTGTGTGGCATTGTTACCGTTCATTTCTCTCGCCCGCTTGAACAGGGCTTCTAGGAGGTAGGCCTTAGGTGACAGTGGAGAGTGTCCGCGAGAGGATCCCATCCCTGGGTGGGCCCAGCTCCAGTCATAAGCCCCGGACGTGGGCTCGCTGTTTCTCATGGCGCTGGTTCCAGCTGGGTCACCATGCTGGCCTCTTCTCCTTTGTCCCCTTGATGGACCGGCTTGATTCAGGTCCCATCCCTTTTTCTCCCTCTTGTTTTTGTCCTCGCACTGCAGCCCCTGTCTATACACCCTGGGGAACAGGAGACATTTGCACTGTTCCTCTCTTGCAGACATAGCTGAGGCCAAGAACTGTTCTCCGCTGCAGGACTTCCTGGAGGAAGGACTCTCCCAGGAGCTTCTGGAGGCGTTTTCCAAGGATGGCCTCTGGAACTTCAACTTGGGAGAAGCCTGCATGGACGAGAGCTGGTTAGATAGTCTGCTAGGAGATCCAGAAAGTCTTCTGAGTTCTGACGTCACCAACGTGGAAAGTCCCACAGAGTGCAAGAGTCACGAACTCAAGAGCGGCCTCAGCCCTGAGCCCCGCCTTCCGACGGGAGAGGAGTCCGTGATCCATGATCTTCCCGAAAAGAACCTAACGCCAGCTGAGTCTCAGGAATGTAGGAATGACCTTGGCTACCACTCAGACCAGAGTCAGCAGGACACTGCCCTGGGAGGGGAGGAAGCATACAAGTGTAGCGAATGTGGGAAGAGCTTCAGCCGGGGTTGCCATCTCATCCAGCACTGGATTGTTCACATGCGGGAGAAGTCTGCTGCAAAGCAAGAGCAGGAGAGCGCTTTGGACCAGAGTTCGTGCCTTTTCGTGTATCCGACGACTCACAAATCGTATGTTTGTAACAAGTGCGGGAAAACTTTCAGTCAAAATACGCACCTCCTCTGGCATCAGAAAATTCACACTGGAGAGAAACCACGTAAGAGTCAAGACCGCGGCTGTCCGTCAGGTCACGGCTCTCAGCCTGTTGAGCAGCAGAAAACCCACACAGGTGCTAAACCCTACAAGTGTAATGAGTGTGGCGAGCATTTCAGCCGCACCTTTCGTCTCACTCAGCATCAGAAGACCCACACTCGGAAGCGCTACGAATGTGCCAAATGCAAGGCCACCTTCAACTTTAACAAATATCTCCTCCAGCATCAGAAAATTCACGCCGCAAAAGCTACCTCTCAGTGCCAGGAATGTGGGAAGGTGTTTCAGCAGAACTTGGCGCTCATCAAACACCAGTCCGTTCACACCAGAGAAGAGCCGTTTAAGTGTGACAAGTGTGGGAAACTCTTCAGCCATATCTTGACCCTAAAGACCCACCAGAGGGTTCATGGCAGAGAGAAGACTTTCAAATGCACTGAGTGTGGGAAAGCCTTCTACCGGAACACTCACCTTAACGAACACCTGAGGATTCACACGGGCTACAGGCCCCACAAATGTCACAAATGCATCAAGAGTTTCAGCCGGCCCTCCCACCTGATTCGACACCAGTCCGTTCATGCCACAGAAAAGCCCTACAGCTGTGCCGAATGTAAGGCGACCTTCAGGCATAACGAACGCCTTATTCAACACCAGAAAATTCATGCTGTGGAAACCCGCTATGAATGTCAGGAGTGTGGCGAGCGCTTCATTTGCAGCTCGACCCTAACTTGCCACCAGAGCGTTCACACCCGAGAAAAACAAGGACTTGACAAGAGTGGAGAGGCCTTGAATCAGAACCCAGAAGAGAAAGAACATCCGGCAACCGACAGAAAGTGCTTTAAGTGTAACAAATGTGAGAAAACTTTCAGCTGCAGCGAAGACCTCACTCAGCACGAGAGGATTCACACTAGGGAGAAGCCCTTTGAGTCCAACCAGTGTGGGAAAGCCTTTGGCCAAAGTACACAGCTTGATCGCCACCAGATGGCTCACTCGGGAGTGAAGCCCTATAAATGTGGAGACTGCGGGAAGGCCTTCATCCGCAGCGCCTTCTTCGCCAAGCATCAGCGCACCCACCTGAGCGAGCGCCCCTTTAAGTGTCACGAGTGTGGAAAGACCTTCAGCCAAAGTGCACGTCTCTCAGAGCATCAGTCAGTTCACACTGCAGAGAAACTCTTCAGATGTAACCAGTGCGATGAAGTCTTTGCGCACAATAACCACCTTACCCAGCATCAGAAAACCCATGCCGAAAAGAAATCCTTTGAGTGTAAGGAATGTGGAAAAATGTTCCACCACAGCCGGCACCTTTCTAAGCATCAGAGAGTTCACACAGGCGAGCAGCCCTATAAATGTGGCGACTGTGGGAAAACCTTCAGCCTGAGTGCCCCACTCATTCGACACCGGAGAGTCCACACTGGAGAAAAGCCTTATTCTTGTGAGGAATGTGGGAAAACCTTCAGCCAGAGCTCGTGCCTTTCTGTTCACCAGAGAGTTCACACTGGGGAGAAGCCCTACACGTGTGCCGAATGTGGGAAAGCCTTCTCCCAGAAAGCAAATATGAAGCAGCATGAGCGAATTCACACTGGGGAGAAGCCTTACACCTGTGATGTGTGTGGGAAAGCCTTTGGCCTCAGCGCCCACCTCAGTCAGCACCAGAGAATTCACACCCAAGAGAAACCATATCAGTGTCAACACTGTCAGAAAGCCTTTCGCTACTACTTAGGTCTCCGCCGACATCAGCGAGTTCACACTGAAAAGTAAGAAGTAGCAATACCACCCGCAGCAGCCAGATGGAAGCTGCACACACGGTTATCTGAGGCCTAAACTTGAAACCATCACATTGTAACCCGCCTCTCTAGCACAATAGATAAGTCTCTTTATTAATAAAGGTTAGAAAACTCGCACACAAATTGCATTAAAACAATGAAAACAAAAGAACCCGTATGGTGTCCAGATTCTGAGGTGGACTCGAACCAGTCTGCTGAGTTAAATCCCAGTTCTGCCATCTGCTGCCTAAGCGATCTTGGGAGAGTCGTGGAACCTCTCAGGGCCTCAAATGTTCTCATCTGCAAAATGGGTGCAGTAATAGTTACTTACCTCAGAGGGCCATCGTGAGGATAAATTAGATGTAAAGCACTTAGGACCGAGTGCCTAGCATATAGTAAGTACTCACTGAGTGTGAGCTCTACGTATGCATTAGGTACAACGTAAATACACTCTTTTATGTTAAAAGGAAGAGAAGAATTAGCAACTCTCTATTGCAATTAATGTTCTTAATAATATGCTTTAATTTTTAAAGTTTTTCTCCAGGATGTCCTTGGCTTAATTTGGTTCTCCAAACCTTAATTTATTCTTTTTTTAAGTCTTGTCTTTCCCTTTCCTCCATCTCTCCGCTCTGTCCTAGTATTTTCTTAACTAACCCACAGATAGCCCAGAACAACATATAAACTAACATCAAATGGCTAAAGCTTTCCACTCCTAACCTCTCAAACCTCTGACTCAAAAGGACCCCCTCCCACATACACATGCTACCTTTACCATGATGGCCTTCCTCCATTTAAAGTTGTTGGTTATCCACCGTGAGACCCAATTTGTCACTGTGGTTAACGTACCGGAAATAGCTGGATTCCATTAGGAAAGCTGTACTGGGTATTGCCACACAGTTAACATGATCTGCGCAGAAGATGTGCTTGGTGGTGAGAATTGCGATGTACGGAAACCACTGCTGGAATGTTCTTCACCATTTATCCAAGCTGGCCACTCACCAGGTGCTTCACTAGGTGCCAGGACGGAATGTCAATACGGTAAGGCCTGCCCTTGCCTTGAAGCTTCTGGAATCCAAGGGAAATAGACGGCCCCCTTTCCATAGAGGAGCACAGTTCGGTGACAAGTGCCATCTTAAAAGGCCAACATTCCCTCATCACAGCAAGGTCTGGGGCCACCGAGGATTGTTGGAAGCCTATGAGGAAATGATGCTTCATGTTGGAGCCCTCGAGTCAGCCACTTGCTGGGCGAGGCCTGTTCTACAGTTGAGACACCCCGTGGAACCACACAACAGCTCCCTCCTGATGGTACCTCCTCAACTCAGCTTTGGTGTCCCTTCCGTAAGCCACCCAGTCACCTATCTGCTGAAGCACAATCTTATGAAGACATTGGACCCACGATTTTGATATCTTTCCTATTTTTGGTGCTAAAAAAGTTTAGGAGTATGTGCCCTGTGCATTTGGGCTTTTCAGACCTTAAACCTTGAGTTCTGCTGGTTGGTTTTGTTGTTGAAACTGGAAACTTAATGGCTGACCCTTGGGCCCACCGCAGAGTGGGGAGTATACTGGTTTCCTAGTGGCCAAAAGGTTTGACTCCCTGCTGGTTTAACTCCCGCCCTTGAGATCAGTCTAGTCTGGGCCGTCAGTCTGTTATGTACCAAAGGGGCTTACAGAGTGTCGCAGGGTGGGGAGGTGGGAACTCAGATTGAAAAGTGTGTTCAGTGAGAGTTTTAAGATCAAACGTACAGGTTGGAGGCCCTGTGGAAAGTCAGCAACCCCTGGGCGGGAAGAGGGGGCGGTCTCTGTAACTAGTGACCTGTATTGCATGGGCCAGTGTAGAATGCCCTTTGTGTATACGTGTTGGTTGTCTGATTAAAGTTTTGAGTCTAAAAGTGTTGCTTCCTTCTCTCAGCCTGGTGCCCCACCCCCAAGCGGACGTGGAGCATACAGAGCCCCTGCCTGCTGGGTGCTGACAGGTGTTCTAGTGGGGGAGGGCTTGTAACACTGAAAACGGTCCCCTAAGAGGGTAGTTAAGTCTTTTTCCCAAGGTGGTTAGGGGCATGGACCACAGAGGAACCAGCTGGTCATCAGATGTCGCATCAAACCACTTTTCCATTGTAGTGCAGTCTTCAGTGGGGGAGAAAGCACGCACAGCATGGTGTTTACTCCTCTCTCATTACAAAGACAGCATGCCTCCAGCTCGGGCAATAATTTTACCTAGAATTTAATACTATTTTGCTCTCTTGGTATTTTCCTTCCTCTGCCCCCTTTTTCCCTTTTACTGACAAAAGATACTAGTTTCCTACGCATGGTAGTGATAAAAAGTCCTTTAAATTTTTTATTTTTATTATAAAAGTTTTTAAAAATGTGAACTTATTTAAAGGAAAGTATGGTACACATCTACAGTAAGAAGAAAAAATTTGACACTAGTATATAATTGAGTGAGGTTTGGGGAACACTAACTAACTGAAGCCTAGTGCCCCTGCCAGTGGCAGGATGGCTGTGTCAGGATAATGCTTTGGCAATATAGTTAAGTTGGATCTCAGTGGCTGAACAGCACAGGTTTATTTTTGCTCACTCACACTACGTGGGTTTGGCACTGTGGGTTGGCAGGGCTGGGGATGTGGTGGGTGGCTGGATCCATCCTATACACCCAGGAGATCCGGGTGCAGCCTCACCAGTTGGAATGTGATAGCCTTGCAGATGGAATAAAAACTTAATTCTTAAGAAATTGTAAAAATACTAGAATAAAATATAGGAGAATGTTTTCATAATCCCGGGGAGTGAGGAAGGCCTTTCTTAGCATGACAGTAGGTTTAAGAACTATAAGAGAAAATTCAAATAGATTTGAATTCCTAAAATTTAAAAAAAATCTATAGCAAAATAACACCATCAGCAAAATTGAGAGAAATAACCAACTGGGAGAAAATATTAGTAACATATAACAAAGAGTTAATACAAAAAGCCCGATTAAAAATGGGCAAAATACATAAATAAGCAATTCAATGAAGCCAAAACATCAATAACATCATTTATCAATAGGACATTTTTACTTATTAGAAATATTTAAAAAAACATTAATAGCAAGTATTCGTGAAGGAAGTGGAGAAGCAGAAATAGGCACTCAGCACTTCCAAGAGTCTGAAGACTTTGGCCACTTCATCTCTCTGTGCCTCAGTGCCCTCATCTGTGAAATGGAACAACACGGCCCTGAACACGTGTAGGTGTTGGAAGAATGAAAGGTGTTCATACTAAGGGCTTAAAAGAGCTCGGCACACAGCAAGTTACTGAAAGCACCATTTTAAGTTTGACATGGGGGGAAAAATCACATGATTCATGTTCAGTGCTGGTAAAAATGTCGCAAAACTGTGGTCCACAGGCCCCCTTGTGCCAGGTAGATTAGGTTCGGTCTCTTTGGAAAGCAATTTGAAACATTCAGGAATCAGGAAAATGGTTAGAGTCTCGACTCTATTGTTCTCACTCTGAGAAATTTGACTTAGAGAAATAATCCCCCCAAAAGAAGAGAGGAAGCGTGAAAATGCTCGTTATAAAACTGTTCATTATTGAGAAAATTGGTGAACAATCCGTATCGATCAGGGGCTTAGAACAAAGCCAAAATGGGGCAATGGATTTGTAAATTATTTGCCACCTGTCAATGAAATAAATATCATTAGCGCTAATAATGATGAGTATGAAGTGTATGTGGTGAGAAAGGATACTGCTCACGATAAAACGAGGACAAAACAGAAGTCAAAATCATTTCTACACTCTTACTACAATCAAATAAAATAAGATTTATTTTTAAACGCTATTTTGAAGGAAATAGGAAAAATCAAAACAATATGACTTCTGGGGGTGACCAAGTTGTAGGTGAATATATATGGCTTTTGTTTTCTGATTCTAATTTTTTCTAAGTTTAATAATATGGATATGGAACACAGTGTAAAACAAAACCAGATATACAGTCCAATATGATCGGTGGTTGTCTCTGGGCTATAGGATTATGGGGGATTGGTATTGTAGTCCATAATTCTCTACTCTTTCCAAACTATCCTTTACAATAAGCATATGTGATTTTACTTAAAATTTTTTTCCTGTTGTGAAAGTATGCAATTATTTTTATAATTAGAAAAATCGTTTCAAAAATATGAGGAAAGAAAAACCTCCCTTTGGGTATGAATAGAATTTAGAAAATGATGCTCAGTAGGGCAACTGCTTTGTGAATCACAAATCCTGGAAATGGAAAAGATCAAAAAAACAACATAAAAAGTGGCTGTAAATATGTGAAACATTCAGTGTTTAAGCCAATTGTACGTTTTGTGGTGACATTTGTATCTTAAAGTTTTAAAGGAAAGTAAAATCGTCTAGCACGTATGTTCAGCTACATATATTTGACACTTTTACTCAAGGGTTATTCTTTCTAGCTGTTTCTTTTTTCTTGAATTTTCAGGCTCCAATTTAATGAATAATCATTGCATTTAAAAAGCTCAGAGGGACCTTATTTAAGATCCCAGATATAGTTGCAGCCCATTTAGAGCACCACCTAGACCACCACCTAGACCACGACTTGGGGACACTATAGGGTTGAAATATAGGGAGGAATTTCAGATTTTAGGGGGAAGCTACTAAAATGATCAGAAGCTGTCCAAGCTGGTGATAAACTGTGCCATCCTCCTAGGAAGAAAAGAAACCAACTCTCTCAATGTTTGGTGTTAGTGTTGCTCTCTGGGAGGAAGTTATTAGTGCTGATGAAGGCTGAACCACCAGTGTGTCACATTCTCAGGCTTTCTAGTCAGCATGAGTTCTCTGATGATCAGCAAGCTGCGTGCCCCAAGCAAAAGCTTTCTCAAAATCATCGCAGATGTAGGTGTTGTGTGTGCTGTGAACTCTCTGGTGTCCAGTGAGGTGTGAACCCCAGCCGAAATCCTCCCCACGTTCCTTACACACATAGCGTCTGCCACTTGTGTGAACCTTCTGGTGTTGAATAAGGTGTGAGATCTGGGTATAGGTTTTCCCGCAGTTGTTACATTTGTAGGGCTTCTCTCCGGTGTGAATTCTCTGATGCTGAATAAGGTGGATGCTCTGGTTGAAGGCTTTCCCGCATTCCTTACAGGGGTAGGGTTTCTCGCCAGTGTGAATCCTCCGATGCTGAGTGAGGGATGAGTTGTGACTGAATGTCTTCCCACACTCCTTACACTTATAGGGCTTCTCGCCCGTGTGGATTTTCTGATGCTCGATAAGGTGGGTGCTCCGGCTGAAGGCTTTCCCACACTCACTGCACGCATAAGGTTTCTCTCCGGTATGAATCCTCTGGTGTTGAATGAGGTGGGAAATCTGGGTATAGGCCTTCCCGCAGATGTTACACTCATAGGGCTTCTCCCCAGTGTGAATCCTCTGGTGGCGCGTCAGGGAAGAGTTCTGGCTGAAGGTTTTCCCACATTCATTACACTTATAGGGCTTCTCGCCGGTGTGAATTGTCTGGTGTTGAGCAAAAGATGAGGTGTGACTGAAAGCCTTGCCACACTCATTACATATATAGGGCTTTTCCCCCATGTGAATGCTCTGGTGCCTCATAAGGTGGGAAATCTGCGTGTAAGCCTTCCCGCACTCGTTACACTCGTAGGGCTTCTCGCCAGTGTGAATTCTCTGATGCTGAGTCAGAGAAGAACTGTGGCTGAAGGCCTTGCCACACGCGGAGCACTCATAGGGCTTTTCTCCCGTGTGAACCCGCTGATGCTGAGTCAGAGATGAGCTGTGGCTGAAGGTTTTCCCACACTCGTTACATTTGTAGGGTTTCTCTCCGGTGTGGATTGTCTGGTGCTGGCTCAGGGAAGAGGTGTGACAGAAAGCCTTGCCACACTCGCCACACTTGTAGGGCTTCTCCCCTGTGTGGATTTTCTGGTGGCGAGTGAGGTGGGACACCTGTGAGTAGAACTTCCCACACTGGTCACATTTATAGGGTTTCTCCCCGGTGTGGCATCGCTGGTGCTTAATGAGGGAGGAGCTCTGGGTGAAGGCTTTCCCACATTCCTTGCATTGGTATGGTTTCTCTCCAGTGTGGATCCTCTGATGCTCGGTCAGAGATGAGCTCTGAGTAAAGGTCTTGCCACATTCATTGCATGCGTAGGGCTTCTCTCCCGTGTGAATGATGTGGTGCTGAATGAAATATGAGCTGTTGCTGAAAGCCTTCCCGCAGTCCTTACACTTGTAGGGTTTCTCTCCAGTGTGAATTCTCTGGTGTAGCATATAGTCCGAATGGTAAACGAAGGCTTTCCCACATTCCATACAGTTAAATGACTTCTTTTCTACAAAGGTCCTTTGGCGTTTTGAGCTCTTCCTTGGCCCATTCCACTTCCGAAGCCTCTCTCCTCCAGGCACTCTGTGCTTCCTCATGAAGACCAAGGTCCGCCTGAAGCTTCTTCCAAGCTCGTTACAGCCAAGACCTCTCTCCCCACAGGTGTTTTCCTTGAGAGAAGCAAAAAGACACTTCAAATGCCTCTCCTGCTTTCCCTGGTCCTCCAATTGATGGCCACATGTCCAGGATTCCCCTATCTTGCCATCTCCAAGCACTGCCCTTAAAATTCCCTCCATCTTCCCCACCGGGGAAGCTGCTTCTTCGGAAATATCCTTTCTTGGCAGTGTCTCTTGAGTAGTTTCAGAGCTTGTCTCCAAGTCTGAAAGAAATGGAAAATATGAATATCATCTGTTCTGGGACAAAGGAAGCTGATTATTATAACTGCCATTGTAAAATTACAAGAGAAGTTTCAAAGTTTGTGTTGCTATTTCAAAAGGCATGAAGTAAATAGATTCATGTTCTGACATGGAAGGATGGCCTCAATATACTCTAAAAATGAAAAGAACTGAGTTGTAACACAGTTTATGTGCACAGTGGTTTATTAGCCATAATATATAATACATGTTTACAAATCAATAAGAGAGAAACAATCTAATAAAAATAGTGAGGCAAGAATGTGAATAGGCACTTTGCAGAAGAAAAGTAAGTGGCCAATAAATATTAAAAAGATGCTTAACATCAGTAATAGTCGAAAAAGTCAAATTACTGAGAAGCTATTTGACGCTTTTTAGATTGGAAATCTAAAAAATATCCAGTGTTAGCAAGTGAACTGTAGAAGTGAGTTAATAAGGGAATTTCACTTTCTACATTACATGTTTGAAATGTTTTATTTATTTTAAATATTAAAAAGTAGTTTTTACTAGGTGATCACAGTGAAAAGTAAACATTCTTCCTTCCTTTGTTCCTACGCTGTTTCTAACTGGTGAATCCTTCTAGAGATTTTCTATATATTTATGTGTGTGTGTATGTGTGGTGGGATGGAGAGTTTTTAAAATTTATTATTATTTATTTTTGATTGTGGTAAAATACCCATAACATAAATTATATCATTTCAGCCACTTTTAAGTGTACACTTCAGTTGCATAAGTACATTCACCACTATCCACCTCCAGGACTTTTTAATTTTCTCAGACTGCAACTCTGTACCCATTAAACATTGACTCCCATTTCCCCCTCCCCCACCCCCAGCAACCACCATTCTACTTTGTCTCTATAAATTTGCCGACTGTAGGTACCCCATGTAAGTGAAATCATACGATATTTGTCCTTTTTAAGTCTGGCTTATTTCACTTAGCATAATGTCTTCAAGGTTCATCAATGTTCTTATTATTTACTTTTATAATTAAAAATACAGTAGAGACATTGGGGTGAAAATACATGAAGGAACTACATTAAAATTTTAAATGTGAATTTTTTTGAAGAGATTATTAGGATTATGGAATTTTCATTTCTTGTTTCATTCTTATTTGGATTTTCAAAGTTTCTGTGATGAACATATAACTTTTACTCGATCAACAGATAGCGACAATACGAAATGTATATGAGGCTTTAATAGCTTGCAGTTTGGGGAAAAGGAGACAGAAAAGATGATGAGCAGGAAACATTACCATTTGGAATTTGTTGAAGGCATCGATTTTTTTATGCTAGTAGCTTTGTTCATAAGACATCTATTAATTGCATAATTATCATGTGCCAACCACAGTGCTAGACATCTGACCCTTGCCCTCAAAGAGAAGTGGGGCAGGCTTGTACTCTGACACCTTAGATGCATCCTCCTTGTCTCCTTAGCATCCCTGCCTTTGAACGACCACTGCTCCCCTTTTGATGTAGTCTTGGTGGGGCTGTTTATCATATATAGTCTCCTCCACACTCCACTTCATGAAACCCAGGCTGGCCAATCAGAATAGCCCATCCCTCAGGCCATTATAATTGGTTCAAGATCCAAACAGGGCCCATCAGAGTCTTCCTTGAGATTGATATATGGTGTTGCTAGGCAGAACATAAGTTTGAGACTAGCGGAAGCCACATCAGCTGCCACGTAGAAAAGCCTGAAGATAGACTGAAGCCAGAAACAGATAGGATCAACATGTAGTGGGGGAAGGTGAGAGGGAGGAGGGGAGGGGAGGGGAGGGGAGGAGAGGAGAGGAGAGGAGGAGAGAGAGCGTGAGCGTGTGCACAAGTGAGCCCTGATAACACCATTTACAGCTTTAGATCCATCTTTGCCTAAAAGCTTACATTGCAACACTTCCCACTTACATGGGTCAAAAAATCTAATTTTGCTTAAGCTATTTTGATTTTTTACATGCAAAAGAGTCCTGACTAAGATATCAGGTAATTACAATAATAGTAATAGAACAATAATAATTATTATTGAAATTGGTAACATTTCTTAAATGCTTACTATGTGCCAGGCACTGTTCTAAGCTTCTCCTATTGACTAATTTATTCCTCAGAAAAACAATTCGGTGAGGTAGATACTGTTAGTGTCCCCACTTTACAGATAAGATCCCACTTCTGGGTCTTTACATAGGCGATTCCCAACAAATAATCATAATGATAACCAGTGGAGCCTATTCTGACTGGGGGGTGACTGGGCCACACTCTATGTAAATTCATTCATTCTGCCCAACCCTGGGGACTATTATTGACCCCATTTTGCAGATGAGGAAACTGAAGCACAGAGAAGCCAAATGACTTGCCCAAAGGTCACAGAACCAGGAAGCAGTAGAGCTAAGATTTAAACCCAGAGTCCACAGTGATGACCTGTATGTTATGCTGCCTCATTCTCGAATGACCATCGCTGATCAAGACAGATGGGGTAGGAAGATGGCTCACACCTGCTGGACATGCTCACCCACCTGGACAGGTAACTTGCCAGACTTCTCGCTCCTCCATCCTGGGCTCTTCCCCTCGCTCCAGACGGGAAATCACATCGGGTTTGGACCCAGGGAGCCCTGCTCCTGGAAAAGACACGAGTCTTGGCAGTGGATGCCATGGTCACAGAGGCCTCAGGGCTGGGCCTCAGGCCCTGGGTCTGCAGGAGAGATACGTACATTGGGTGCCTACTTATTAGACACTTTAACGGTCAATGTGAGATTCATTTATTGGGTGTTTACGTCCCAGAGAGAGCCTGAGCCCTGATGTCACTGTTTAAGGCTCTGACATCCAACCTGAGTTCAACCTGAGTGTGAAACACACCACATTTTGAAAAACTTAATATGCAGAAAAATATAAATGATCTCATTAATAATTTTTATATTGACTGTGATTTCGACATGTGCCGAAATGATCATATTTTAGATAGATGGGATGAAACAAAACATATTACAAAAATTAATTCCATCTGTTTCTTTTTGCTTTTTGATGCCTGCTGCCTTTGAGATCACTAATTTCTCTCTTCCTAGTGCGGACTGAACAGTGTTTGCCCCAAATTACGTCCACGGAAGCCTCAGAATGTCACCTAATTTGGAAATGGGGGCTTTGCCGATGTAATTAGTTCAGACAAGGTCCTACTGGATTATGGCGAGACTGTGACCCCATGAGGTGTCCTTATGAGAGGAGGGACACACAGACACATATGGAGGGGGCAGGCCATGTGAAGGTGGCGGCGGAGGTTGGGGTGATGCAGGTACGAGATGAGAAACCCCAGGACTGCTGGGAGCCTCAAGGAGCTGGATGAGGCAGGAATAGATTCTCCCCCAGAGCCTTCGGAAGGAGCGTGGTGCTGCCCACGCCTCGCTTTTGTACTTCCGGCTTCCGGAACTGTGGGAGAATAAATTTCTGCTGTTTTAAGGCACTGAGTTTGTGGTAATTTGTTCCAGCAGCCCCAGGAAGCGAATCCATCTCCCTACTGATCATCCCGATGAGCAGACAACATGCCCACGCCTCCCGCCCTAGAGACAAGCCCTCCTCTGACTGGGGAAGCTTGAGTGGGGGAGAGAACGGGAGGCGACAAAACTGAAGAGGCTGCAGGGGCCACGTCACGTCAGGCTGTGAAGGAGCCGATAAGGGCGGCGCCCAGGACCGGCCTGCTGACTGTCCCCGAGATGGGGGACCCAAGGAAGAACGGGTCTGGAGGGCCGTGGTCAGCTTGGTGGGGACAGGGAACAGGGGGGCCGGGCCCTTCCCTGGGAAGTGTTCTGGGGGCCGCCAGCTACACAGAGCCGGAACCCAGGGGACAGGGTTTGTCTAGCACAAGCGTGTGCGTAAGGAGAGCTGAGGACGGAGCCTACGCGCCACCAGAGCTCACAGGGAAAGGGGACACGAAATGAAAATGAGGAGGGAGAGATGGATGGGAGGGAAGGGCGGAGCAGAGGGGAGGCTGGCGTTGGGTCCGGGGCAGAGGACAAGGCCTGAGCAGAGCCCGGCTGTGGGGATAGAGAGGAGGGGACAGGCAGAGAGAGTCAGGGGGCAGAGGGGGACACGGCTGGGGCCTGATGGGCCATCAGTTAGGGGATAGTGCCCGGGGATCTTGTCTGGGGCCTGGGGGATGTGGGGCCCCGGAGCGGGAGGAGTGGGTCAGTGTGGAGATGCTGAGCTTGGGGTAAAGGTGGTGAACGGGACGGGCCTTGCAGGGTGCAGGAGGCGGGTGCGTGAACAAATGTGGGACTCGGGAGACGCATCTGGGGAATAGCGTTTGTGTACTCTGGGGAGAAGATGCCAGAACAGAGCCTGTTGACAGGACATCGGGGGCGGGGGGGCACCTGGAGTCTGAGCTTCCGGAACAGGCATCCCAGCACGGAGCCGGAGGTCACCACATGTGCAGAGGGAAGCATGAGAAGAGGGTGGGGACACCAGCTGAAGATTTTGGGGGACAGGCAGAGGACTTGGGGCCCTTAGGGACATTGGGGCTCTAGGAGAGGCAGAGAGAAACGGGAAGACACGGACAGAGGCCAGCTAGGAGGGACCGGTGAGGGCACCGTATGACCCCAGAGACCACCCACAGTTCAGCAGTGATGGGCACAAAGGGAATGAGAACAGAGGGCGCATCACGCCTCACCCAGCGAGAGAAGGTTCTGGTAGGTCTCCAGCATTACATCCCGATACAGCTCCCTCTGGCCGGGCCCCAGCCGGCCCCACTCCTCCAGGGTGAAGTCCACGGCCACGTCCTTGAAGGTCACTGATTCCTGAAAGGGCCAGCATTACACAGTCTGGGGCGGGGGAGGTCATGAGGCAAGAGCCTACGACATGCGCCCTGGGCTGGGACATTCTGGCTCGGCAGGTCTGGGAAGGCTGAATCAAACTGGCCCACGGGCATGTAAAAGGCCTAGGGCAGGCCCCGAGCGAGCCCGCAGGCACCCCGTTAGAGTCAAACGAGGGCCCGTCACACGACTCTTTACTGCCATCTGTTGGAAGATTGTTATAATGTGCCAATTATTTTGGTATATGACAGTTTGCTGCCATCTGCGTGAAAGCTGTCATAATAAATACACCAGTACATGAGGCATAAGATGCAAATCAAGCCACCGAGATGAGGCGCCCCTGTGCAGTGCGTAACCTACACATCTGTATGTGGCAGTCCTAAGAAACACTTTTAAAAGAACGATCAGCCATTGCGCGTCGAGAGCTTCACGTTCCTGAGTTGTACTTCATCCCAGACACCAACTCTGATTCCAAACCCCGTTCCTTATTCCAAGGATGAAACTCAGGGGAGAAACAAAACAAACCGCTGCCCATTTCACCTGCTAACCAAAAGGCCGCTGAATGTAAGATGATTTTCAGACTGTATCCTAACGTCCCAGCTCAGAGCATTCTGCCCCTCCCTCACACCTCCCAGCCCCACAGTTCCCATCAGAGACCCCCTCTCTCCCAGTACTGGGAGGGGCAGAAGATTTTCAGGCCACAGGTGGAGATGAGGACAGCCCTCTGGGGTCCACAAGGTCATATCTGGGAAGAGGGAGCGCAGGCTCACCTGGTCTTCAGCTGTCCTGGTCCTGGTGGCCATTGCTGGGTCCCCGGCATGCACCTGCAGGAGAAAGAACCAGGTCTGATTCCGCAGAGCTGGAGGAGACTGGAGCAGAGAACCGGGGTCAGTTCTGGCCTAGACAGACAGAATTTCCCAAAGAAGCCTTGTGACAGAGGGGACCCTGGTCTCCTATGAGCAGGAGCAAAGGCTCAGGACAGGCTGCCTGAGGTCCCCATTCTGTACCAACAACCACGCTGCACCTACACATCAGCCCTCAGAGAAGGAACTAGTTATCCTCAGACGAGGAAATTAAGGCACAAGAGGTCAAGGCCGTTGCTCAAGGTCAGAGAGATGTCAAGTGCCAGAGCAGGATTTGAACCCAGAAGTCACTACAGACCCAACCCCTCTTTTTTTTTTCCTGTTGTAATTTTTTTTATTGTACTAATATACATATAACATAAAAGACACCATTTTAACCATTTTGAAGAGTATGATTCGGTGGCATTTATGATACTCACGATGTTGTACAACCTCTGCTACGACCTAGTTCCAAAACATTTTCATCATCACTCTACAAGAAAACCCTCTACTGCGAACCAGTCACCCCCAAATGTCCCTGTTCCCCCTTGCCCCACACCAGCCCCTGATAACCACTCATCTTTCTGTCTCAAAGGATTTGCCTATTCTGGACATTTCGTATACATAGAATTATACGATATGTGGCCTTTCTTGTCTGGCTTCTTTTACTTAACATAACATGTTCAAGGTTCATCCATGTTATAGCACATCTCAGTGCTTCATCCCTTTTCAGGGCTGAATAATATTCCACTGCATGGATGGGCCATGTTTTGCTGAGCTCCTGCAAAAATCCTGTTTAAGGATCCTGGGCTCCTTAACATGTGTAAAGAAAGTTTTCATCTGCTGAAATAAAGTTTCAGAATCCCCGCCAAATAGAAGTTGGTGTTCAGACTGTGGTCACCCCCATTCGTTCATCAGACACACTCTGGGCCCCAGGTGAGTGACAGGCTCCATTTGGGGCTCTGAGGACAGAGACCAGTGAGATGAAGCTCTACCCTCTGCCTGGTGGGGGAGACAGTCCTGGACATAAACCAGGTGGGGGGGCTGAATAGTGGACCCAAAAGATATGTCTGGGGTGAACGGCAATGTGATTGAGTTAAGCATCCTTAGATGGGAAGATTATCTTGGATTATCTGGGTGGGCCCTAGGCCTCCGGCTTGGAAGCTGGAGGATGGAGCCACACCCGGGGGATGAGAGCTCCTCTCAGAGACTGGAAAAGGCGAGGCAACACATTCTCCACTGGAGCCTCTGGAGCGACCTTGTTTTTAGAAAAAAACACAAAGACTCTTGGGGAAGGGAGGCGTGCAGAGACCCAGAGAGAAGTGGACAGCGACACACAGAGAGACGGGCAGAGACATAATGGGGTCGGGGTAACGGTTGGAGATTAGAGAGAAGAGATAAAAGTCACAGAGGGGAAGAGATGCTGAGGATAAGGATAGAGACTGTGCAGCGTACACGCTGGGGGGTCAGGGTCAGACATCCCTGGCTGTGACCCCTGGTGGGCCACTTATTAGTATTGTGACTGGGGAGAAGTTGCGCAGTCTCCCCGAGCCTGTTTCTTCACCTGCGAAGTGAGGAAAGGTACGTTCTCCCTCATAGGGGATCCTTGGCCGGACTCCTGGCAGACGGCGGGCGCCCCATTCCCGCGCGCTGAGATCGTCCCAGTCGCGCAGATGGCGGGTGGGGGGGATTTGAGGCGGCCAGGCTAGTGACGGGATGGGGCGGGGCGCCGCCCAAAGCGCCGTGCCCCCTCCCACCCAGGCACGACTTGGACCCGCCCCCTGAGCGTCCGCATTCCCGCCCGGCCCGGCCCGGCCCGCGCCCACCAGCTCCCCCGAGTGTCAGCCACGTCGGGTCTCACCTGCGCGCCCCCGCGGGTTGCACACCGCCGCCAGGCCTTCCCACCCTCCCGCGGGCCACGGAATGCGCCTGCGCCGTCGCTGTCTCGGAACTATGAAGTCCTGGTACTTTAAACGCAGCTTCGCAGCTGGACTACATTTCCCAGAAACCATTGCGGCTCACGCTCCTCCCGGCCTAAGGCCTCCGAGGCCTGGGAATGCTGGGAAATGGAGTCTGGGACTAGGATGTGGGACGGGAGAATGCATACTATAATACACAGCTGCTTTGCATCTGGAGGCAACATGGCATTTGGGAAATGTCTGGCAGTATTGGCACCGCGAATATTCCTATTTTAGCCAGAGTCTTTTAACTGCCCTCCACAGGAAGACTATGATCTCATAGTCTTTTTTCACCCATGGAATCCAAATTTTTTCTACCAACTTTTACGTCTTGGGGACACATAAAAGTTGGCCCCATCTAAATTGATGGTGAATACATACCGCCTCTGTCATTTAATTACTCCAGATTTACCTACGCATCCTCCTTTCTGTATGCCTCACTTTCCCCTCTTACCTCTTAAAGGCCAGTGTGGTAGAGGAAATAGACCTTTATAGTGGGATCAGGGAGATGTATGTCCAGGAACGCGAGGAAGAGTCGATATTACGCGATTATGTAATTCGCCTATTAATATATCTACATAATACAATCATATGTATGGTAATGAAAAGAGTTTTGAGAACGTTCAGTAATCAGCCATTTCTGGATAAACTTATTAAGAATAAGGCCCATAATGAACGGTAATGACAATAATCTTAAGGAGTTGCTGGTCTCCCCTTGTTTTGAATTATACACATATAATCAAAACCCCCGATTAGGCTTAACGATAAAACACCAAAAGAGCCTCCCTTAAAGTCAGAAACAAAACGAAATGCCCACAATTACCACTTTGCGGAGAACTAGCAACGTAATTAGAGAAGAGAAGCAAAAGACATCATGGCAACAGAGAAGCCCAGGTTTTCATCCTTTTTCGAAGATGACTGCTACCTTGGAAATCAGAAAATCGACTGAAAAGCCAAGAGAAAGAATAAGATAATTCGGTAATATGACCGAGTACTAAATTAGTCAGTAAAACCCAGTAGGTACAGCACAGGGACTAGAGTCAATAATATTGCAATAATTATAGATGGTGTCAGACTTACTGGGGGGAATGTGTAATCGCGATGCTGGACACCCGAAACTAATGTGATGTTGTATGTCAACTATTGAAATTATTATTGAAGAATAAAATTTAAATTAAAAAATAGGTTTTTTTTCTTCTCAAACAAGAATGATAAGGAATCTAATTTTTATAAAGGTTATTTGGATTTTAGTTCAGATTTGCCTAATAGCTTTTAATCTTTTGGTGGGCTGGGGCGGTCTCTTTCATTCTCGGCACCTCGGTTTTCTTCTCTGTGATCCCACGCTGGAGCACTGTGTGACACAGACCGGATCGCTCTTCTCCAAATCCTTTTCTGTATTTCTTGTGCACTCGGCCGAACTACATTTCCCAGCCTCACCAGCAACTTGGGGTAACACGTGACCATGTTCTGGCTAATAAAATGTGAGCGGGAGTGACATGCATGCCCGTGCCCATACTCGGCCCTTTAAAACCTCCCACTTGTCACTTTCCACACCCAGGAAGTCATAGGTTACAGATGGAAGGAGCCTAGGTCCCTGAATTGTTATAAAGGGCAGTACATCCTGTCCTTGAAATGTTCTCGAGCCCTGAAATGATTATGACCACCACATGAAAACATGGGGAGATGCTCACCAATCAACATTAAAAGAACAAAAATAACAAAGTTAGATAGCTTTCATGTTTATAAAGATGTAAAATATAGGTACGCACATGAGTAAAAGCTAGATGAACCACTGTCAAAACGAAATCGAAGTAATCCCGCATCCCCTCCTGCGCGCCAGTCACAAAGACAAACCTATATCCCTGTCCCCTCTAGGCTTGCGTATTCTCTGTTCCCTCTGCTTGGAACAGCCCACTCCTCTCTCTCACTCTCTGCCTTCATCGGTCACATTCTTGTCTTTTACTCCACTAGTTTCTATCTTTCGAGTTACAGCCAAGGTGACACCTCCTCCCCATGCCCTCCCTGATTGCCAAGCTGGGTGGAGCCTCTCCTCTTGAACTCATACAAGGCCCTGGGTGATCACCATCAGGCAAACATATCACACGGGATCCTAACTGCCTGTAACCATGTCTTTATCAGGTATCCTAATCTTAGCAATAGTGACTGGTCCAAGGGGTGGGCCCACGACCCAAGCAGGACCAATCAGGACCCTTCCCTGGGGCTGCTGGATGAACCTAGTTGCAACTGTGCTACTTGCTTCAGCCAATGAAATGCAGATGAAAGCGACACATGTCGCTGAGCTCATTTAACTTGCATGATCACCCTATGAAGAAGGCATTACTCCCGCATTTTACAAACGTGTATACTGAGAGGGGGGATTTGTGTAACTCACCCAAGGGCCACAGCTAGGCATTGTGCATTGCTCTCAGGAAATTCTCAGAAGTTAAGGGAGTGACTGCGCCCGCAGCGTGAAGACATTTTAAAAACCAAAACAACACTGCTACCCAAGCAACAAGCATTTCGGAGCCACCAGCTTGTGACCCCCCAAGCTTGAGCCTTTCCTGGAGGGGGCTCCTGTGTGGCTACCGGTTTGAGCGAGCGTGAAGTCCAGCCTTTGACGTGCTTCGCCCCTCGCCGGCGCGCGGATAAAGGTGACAGCACGCGCGCCCAGAGCGACGTCGCCAAGGCGACCAGCATCTGTCGCCTCCAGGAAAGTGCGCCTGCGCGGTGGACGGAGGTGGGGGGCAGTGAACAGTAGCCAGCCTCTGCTCCACCTCTTGAAAAAACTCTCCATTCAAAGCGCTATCTACTGCGCAGGTAACGAAAACTGGTATCTTGGCCACGGAGGATGACGGTATCTATGGCAACGGAGTCTTGCAGCAGGCAGGTTTCTGGGAAATGTAGTTAATTAAGCAGTCCCGCGAGATCCAGCGACACTTAGAACTCTCTTTGCTAATATCTAATATGTATATAAGCAGCACCCAGATATTTCCCCGTCATCTCACAATGGTAGCAAAACGTGTCTTGATTGGTCTGCAGTATTTGAAAAAATTAGTTGCCCAGACTACTTTAATGGAGAGATTTCGCAGAAAAAAAAAAAAATCTGAATTTCTGGATTCTCTTGAAAAATTCTGAAGATCTAAAAAGACGGGGGTTGTCATTTCACCACGACCGCAATAGGACAGAGCTGCGTGTTCTCTACCCTCTGTGACTGGGACCTGCAGCCCTCAGTTTTTCTACCTGGACCCCAGATACGTGAGGTTTCAATCTCAGACCCTGGGAAAAACCACCCGAAGCTCCTTTCCCTGGCATTTAAAGTGTGCGGATCAATACCGTCTTTACAGGCTCCCCACCCCTCAGCCCCCAACACTACTACCCTCACTTATTCATCAAATATTCACTGAATGTCTGCTCAGGGCCAAGCGCCGTGCTAGGCACTGAATCTTCAGCTCAAACCCGCCTTCCTCCCTCCCACCAAACATCCGCATGATCCACATCCTGAATGAGATAGCAATGGTTGTGCTAGCCGGTTCAGAAACGGAAAGACACCACGTCATCCAAATCCACTCGCTCCCTACACTGGGTGAACGAGTAGCAAGAGTTCAGAGAGCAAAATGAATCCGAATCCACTCGGGAACGCAGGCAGTGAAAATGTCAGAGTTTGGAGAGGGAGAGACATCTGCATTCTCCGCACCGACCGCTGCTCTTCCTCTGTCTGACTGTTCTTGACCATCCCACTATGGTGTCACCTCCTTTAGGATGCATCCCCGCCCACAGTAGGAATGGTTGTCCGTTCAAGCCTTCAATGTCCATCCCTCTTGATGGGCCAGATCGCTTCTACTTTGAATCGGGGCAACTGGTGTCTACAGATGGGTGAGACCTGGGCCTCATCCCTCGAGGAGCGAGGAGCGCCCAGTTGGGTGTCCGGAGCTGGACGCCAATTGCGGGGGAGGGTCTTCCATCAACTGACGTAGACATTGAAGAATTTGTCACAGACTTTATTAAACTTTTCTTTTCTTTTCCCCTTATGAACCCCCACACCAACGCCTTACTGCAGCAAGAGTTTCCGGTTTTGTCGGTACGTAATAGCCCTGGTCAGAGAGAAAAGGCCTGGACGTTAGAAAGAGAACTGGAGGCCCTTGCAGATCTACAGACTCCGCCCCCCGCAAAAAAAAAAAAAAAAACCTTCCCTCCAATCATCGGCCTTATTCGGCTTAGCCAGTGACATCATCGGTCTCTGGGCAGATTTCCAGTGTTCTCAGCCAATCAGGGTTGGTACATGAGGAGAAAGGCATGAAAAATTGGGACTAGGGGTGAGAGTAAAATGTGGAAACACCAAGAGTGGAAAAAGCCAAGAGGTACGATGCGAGACCCAGACACAGGGAGCGAGGCTCAAAGAGAAGGGAAAAGACAGAAAGTGAGAGAAAAGAAAAGAACAGGTGTGCTCGCCCAACCGTGTTCCCCAAAAGATACATCCAGGTCCTCATTCTCGGTCCCTGTGAATGTGACCTCATTTGGAAATAGTGTCTTTGGAGATATAATTAAATTAAGGTAAGAGGGGATCATTCTGGATTTGGGCTGGACCCCTCATCCGATGGCTGGCGTCCTTATAAGAGGAGAGAGAGGGAGATTTGAGACAGAGGAAAAAGGCACATGAAGACTGGAGCGAAGCCACATGCCAAGGAACAGATGGCAAGGCTGCAGCAGCCACCTGAAGGAAGGAGGCAGGGATGGAACCGATTCTCTCAAAACCTCCAGGAGGAACCAACCCCACCGACCCCTTGATTGTGGACTTCTGGCCTCCAGAACCCTGAGAACGAATTTCTGTTGCCTTAAGCCACCCAGTGTGTGGTCATTTGTTACAGCGGCAACAGGAAACTCACACACAGGGAGGCGGCGGCCAGAGAGCAGGGACAGAGTTCTGTGACAGAGACAGGGGGGCGAGAGGGGACTTGGGCAAGAGGATGAGGGAGAAACGGAACTCAAGACAGAAAAGGGACCCCCGGGGATGGAAGAGGGGAA